ACTCACTTCTCGATCGCTATCATTCTAACCATAGCTACTCTGACTTGCCATTACTGGTCTAACACACACACACACACACACACACACATACATACACATATACACATACAAACACACCATTGTAATTTCCCTCCCTGTCAACACTACCACTTGAACCAATACCGCAGCATAGTAACTGATCTACAGAACCATAACACCGCTTAAAAGCGCAATAATGGAGCTGTAACGTCTGTAACAGCACTTTGACTGAATTACAGGATCGTAACACCACTTAACAGCATCGGTGACGGGTGGTTGACGGTATCGGGTCGACAGGTCATGATAGACGTCCCGATAGACCGGTTGCCTGTCGACGTGTGTTTATAAGCTGCGTCCCTTTTGCTGCCTCCCTCCCGTGTCTTTTTAAGTCCTCTTTGAATCCAGGAGGGGGAAGGGGGGTGTCATGGGAGGGGGGGTGGGGAGTGTCATGGGAGGGAGGAGGGGAAGTATGATTGTGGTGAGTGGTGGTGAAGAGAAAGGGGAGAAGGGTATGGGTAGGGAAAGTGAGGTTGGAAACATGGGAAGGGATGGTGGTGATGGTAGCTGGGTTACAGAAGTTACTGCCTCCGTCACCGATACTGCAATGTAGTGTGACATTTTTTTTCCTTGGCTCCATCACTAACCTGTGTCCGTACTCATGGTTTCACTTTCACTGACCCTGACAATCGAAGTACCTAACACAACAACAATAGCCCCATACTCTACAGAAGTGGACAAGTTACACAGTTGATCACATGAATGGCTTCCTACTGTTCAAAGAGGATATTGAACACAACTTAATAAGTGACACGATAAACATTAACCTACTAGTGTGTGTGTGTGTGTGTGTTGTTCTCTTTAGTGTGTTATTAGTGTATCTTCCATTGTGGTTAGTGGATATAGCTGACTTAAGTGCAGGCTGGAAAGTAGAGGCAAAGAACTATTGTAGTACTGCTACCAATGGGTCCTGAAGCCTTTTTCCACTGAAATTATTATTATTGTTCTTTGGTCCATTAATAGTCTCCTTTACATGCTCCTTTTAATTTCCTTTGTATATAATATAACATAATTTCTCTATTTTTGCTTATCACTGTATTTAATCGAGGTTTTATTCTCATGATGTTCCTCCTAGTTGCTGTCATCTGATCAAATTGATTTCCTTTGTCTCTGGTTTCATTAATCATCTCTTTCTTCATATCAGAGTCGATCACTTGACCTAGACTGTATACATTAACCACATATGCTGTAGAAAGTCTTCCTGGTCAATGTAGGTCTATCTTTTTACTATATTTTGTGAACTGGTTTGATACGTGTGTGTGTGTGTGGTGCCTATTGCTTAACCACCTGTAAAGAAGCTACGTGTAGACGGTTCTTAAGGGTTATAACAGCTGCTGCCTAAGGAAAATAAACATTAAATATACAGGAAAACATAAATATAAAGATGTTTACTATATTTTCATCCTTATCTCTCTCTCTCTCTCTGTGTATGTATTTTGCAGGTGTCCCGATAGAATAAAACGTATTTATTATACACAGGTGTTGAGATAGTCATCAGTTATACAATGGATCTCGTTTTTACGTGCTTAATCTTTGTCAAAATACTTCATTTGGAATTACTGTTTATTTGTATTTACCAGTAGAGGGAGGTAGCTTTTGGTCTCAGATTACTTACATTTATCAATTTAATAGTGTGTCTGTTTGGTTTTGGTATGTGTGTGTGTGGGGGAGGGGTGGAGGGGGGAGGGGAGTCCTTTCCTATACTACCCCTCCTCCTTACACACACACACACACACTGTTTTATCTCACAGTAACACTGACATGGTGTTATTGTGATGGGGTTTTTTCAGAGTACTTGGATGTTTTTTTTCCTTATGAGTACATTACGGTTATGATTAATGCAGTGGGATGGTTTTTGTGTTATATTGAGTACACTGGGATGGTTTTTGTCTTATATGAGTACACTGGGATGGTTTTTGTGTTATATTGAGTACAGTAGGATGGTTTTTGTGCTATATGAGTACATTGGGATGGTTTTTGTCTTATATGAGTACACTGGGATGGTTTTTGTCTTATATGAGTACACTGGGATGATTTTTGTCTTATATTGAGTACAGTAGGATGGTTTTTGTGCTATATGAGTACATTGGGATGGTTTTTGTCATTGTGTACATTGGGGTGATTTTTGTCTTATATTGAGTACAGTGGGATGGTAATAGTGCTATATGAGTACATTGGGGTGGTTTTTGTGCTATATTGAGTCCACTGGGATGGTTTTTGCCTTATATTGAGTACAGTAGAATGGTTTTTGTGCTATATGAGTACAGTGGGATGGTTTTTCTTATATTGAGTACAGTGGGATGGTTTTTCTTATATTGAGTACATTGGGATGGTTTTTGTGCTGAATGAGTATATTGGGATGTATTTTTTCCTATTATATAATTGGGGTAAAGAAAAGACAAGATATATTTTTGTCAAACAATTTCTTTGGTCATTGTTCAACGTCACAGAATATAACATGGTCGACTCTTGACTAGACAGTAAATTAAAAAAAAAATCCTATTTAAGAAAAGTCGTCACACATATTTTCGACTTTTCCACATCTACCTATTATATAATATTTTTCCCTTAATATTTTTTATAATTTTCCATACAAAACTTTTTTTTTTTTTTTAATTGGCTATTGAAGATAAAAACACTTATGCGGTAATTTTGAGTTTGCCAAATTGACTAGACAAAATAATAATAATAATAATAATAATAATAATAATAATAATAGGTATATGACGGTTAAACAAGAACTATGGTATATATATATATATATATATATATATATATATATATATATATATATATATATATATATATATATATATATATATATATATATATATATATATATATATATATTTATATTTATATGTATTTATTTAGCATTTCATCTCCCCCTTCCTCCTCAAGAGGAGTGGAAACACACAAACGAGGCATTGTGAACTTGGGGAGGGAGGAGAGGGGGAGGAGAGGGGGAGGAGGGGGGAGGGGAGGGGTAAGAGGAGGAGACAGATATTCATGTTTTCATACCGAATTTTTGTCCTCATCTGAACACCATTTAAAGCAAAAAAAAAAATACAGTACGTCTATAGCTTTAAAAAAATAAATAAATAACCTACCCAGCGTTAGTAATAAAAATTTTGGAATGTACAATAACACAAAAAAATAATAGAGATAAATACAGTTAAAATACCATCACTTTATAATGGCCAAGTTGCATTACTGTAAATAAAAATTAGATAGAAGTTATTGAAGGAAGAAGGAAGATTGAAAATAATTGAGTTTTTCAATATTTCACTCTGACAGAACACTTCACTCATGCACTTTACAAGATCTTCACTGACTGCTTCATAGATCTTTTTCATAATATTCCATAGATATCAATCACTCACGGTCTATTTCGCTATATTTTTCAAGATATCAGTCATTTAGGCTTGATTTACTTTACAATTTTAATATATCAATCATTCAAGGTTTCATTCTTCGAGTTTCACAAGATATCAGTCACACCAAATTCATTTCTTCATAACTTCCAAGATATCATTCACACATTTAGCTTTCTTCAAGTACATGTAATATACACCAAGTATCTATTAGCTTTTCACAGCCAAGAGAGCTGATCCACCAGTTAAGCTCCCCCCCTCACTCCCTTCCTTTTCTCGAAATAGACTAATCATGTTCCTGGCATCCCTAGGCTCCTCCTACTACTATCGCATTCACCAATGACAAGCCCGGGTCACTGACTAAGCTCCACCTCTTATTTTCAAGTTCACCAATGACAAAACTCTCTCCTTGACTAGGCGCCTCCCCTCTCTTGAAATCCACCAATCATAAGCTGAGGGTCTAGGCTAAGCTCCTCCTGTTTCAAATCCACCAATTTGCAAAACCGCCCCACTCCATACTTGTCTAACTATTCAGATCCACCAAGCATGTATACACTGATCCACCAAGCATGTATACACTGATCAACCAAGCATGTATAGACTGATCCACCAAACATGTATATACACTGATCCACCCACTTTGTAAACACTGATCCCCAACTATGTATACACTGATCCACCAAGCATGTATACACTGATCAACCAAGCATGTATAGACTGATCCACCAAGCATGTACCCTAATCACTCGAGCTCTGTAACATAAACTTGGCCCTTATAGTTACATAAAAATAATCACGAAAATGAGTTAGAAAAATAAGAAGTACCTCACTTGACATCCAGCCAACATACATGGAAGGATCGTTTATGACTCTTAACCGACCAGGAAGAGTTATTGGTTAGCTTTGGCGACTGACTTACCAACCATAACACTGATAAGTAATATGCTTGAGCAAAAAACAAATGATTTTTTTTTTACACATTGTGCACTGTAGAAGATACAATAAATAATACTCATAATAATCAACAGATATACACAGCAACGACTGTAAACTATACACATTACTGGAATGTATATTAGAAGTAGTCATTGTGTCTATCTTGCATGATCTAAGTTTATATATATATATATATATATATATATATATATATATATATATATATATATATATAAACTGTATATATACCATGTAGGGACACAAATCATCTTTACAGTGACTTACAACCAAATAAATCATAACAAGTTTTGCCATGCATAGTAAAGCATTTGATATACAATAAGAGTTAAAGCATAGCATATCAGCATACCACATTTACATATATATATACTGCAGCATGGTATGCCTCATACACCGTTTCAGATGGCATGGCACATACTCTGTGCGGCGGCATATGGCATGGCACATATTCTGTGCGGCGGCATATGACAGACACATTGCAAACGTCGTCTGCTATATGCATTCAACCAGGGCATAATATATATATATATATATATATATATATATATATATATATATATATATATATATATATATATATATATATATATCGGTTCAGTAATAATTTATTTTACAAATATCTGCCATGCCAACCTTCAGACACTGTGGTGAGTAAATTACGTAAGTAGCAATGTTATCAGTGAAATAATAAATTACAATAGACCTTTTCATCTTTTCACAGATGATCAGTATATTTTGACACTGGCAAGCCACAGGAGGCGTCATGATAAAGAGACCTAAACCTGAACTTAAGACATAGACAAACCTGAGCCTTACGTTAGCCTACAATAAGGGCTCAATTTTCTCTTTTTCTTTTGAGAAGAAAGTATTTATTACTCAAGTGACAATCTGTAGCCCATTATTCGTCAGTATGGATTCCATACACTTGTAATTAACATGTGTTGGCTATTCAGGTATAGCGGCGAAAAGAAGAGGTTTACGTCCCTCTTACCACAACACAATACTGTATCACTCCCATCCTGGCCTCCTGCACAACAGAAACAGTCATAGAGGCGCAACCAACCTCGCCAAAAATAACACAGTTTGAACAACGACGGCATTTTTATATTATTATTATTATTATTATTATTATTATTATTATTTAAACCACTAAGGACTTTTTTCACTAAAATTACTGCCGGCTAGACTGTACATTACACCATGGTTGAGGGCGGCCAGCACACCCGGGGGTTAAAACTCCGTAATTAAGAGGACGTCCACTCCATGTAATTGATATATCCTGGAAACTAACATTAACACCCACACACACATACACACAGACATACACACATACACACAGCAAAAAAGATTCTGTATACAACTCTAACCATTATCTTGGATATATATTTATTAGATATAGAGGTCACAGTGATATTAGTAGTAATATTAATAATAACGTTATGAAGAGCTTTAAATTTATCCCTGACGGTCGGGCGCGGAACAAGGTCGAGGAAAGGCCCCTCTGAATACGGCGGTGACTCCACTGGCTCACACGCCTGGTCACACACACACACACACACACACACACACACACACACACACACACACACATACCTGCCCCAGGTAACAGCGTCCCCCCCCTCTCGTGAGATGTGAGGCGAAGTGAGTGTACTCTTGTGTGTGTGTGTGTGTGTGTGTGTGTGTGTGCGTGTGTGTGTGCGTGCGTGCGTGCGTGCGTGCGTGTGTGTGTGTGTGTGTGTGTGTGTGTTTGTTTGTTTCTGTTTCCTCGTGGTGTTAAATGTTTCGTGTTATTGGCCGTGTGTGGAAAGAGAGAGAGGCTTCATGTTGTGATGTAAGACCATGTGAATGAGGCCAGTCTTTATATGGTTATATCCTGTGTTATTAAAGCTACCGAGCTGTGGGTGAGGAGGACATGGGGGTGTGTAGAGAAGTGTACTAGTGATTAAATTTGTGCGAGCAAGACTACACCCGTGTGAGGCAGGAGGTGTATGTAGCGGGTGTAGCCAGTGGAGACCACCTGATATAGCATAGTGTTGGTTACAGCCAACACCCTCGCCCTGCCCGCGCCCTCACAACCCAGACTGAGCACCCCCACGCCCACACGGGAGACGGGTGGGCGTGAGTAGTGACCAGTCCCCCGGTTTTGATTGGTACTGAGGTACAGTGATATAGAGGAGAGTACGGAGCGAGCCACGAGCCGCGCCGAGCACCACCCGCGCCATATCGTCGCACCCGCGCTGCCGCGGGCTCAAACCGCCCACAGTGGCGGGCGTTTAGCACCTGTGCGGCGGGAAGGACTGCGGCCCACTGGACTAGACCCAGGGCTGTACCGCCCGGGTCCAGTCCGCCCCGTGATTGTACTTTGTAGAAGAGCGAGACCCTGAGTTGTGGTGCGCCGGAGGGCGCGGAGCTCACGCGGGCGTGAGACTGAAGGAGACGGTGAGGGGGCGGTGTACGCGGCGGGCCACAGGCAGGTACACCAGGGAGGGCACAAACTGCCGCCGCTCACTCTGCCTCTCCTCCTCTTTCTCACCCTCGTCGCCTCCTTCACTCCCCTCGTTGTTCAGCAAGAACGGCTGCATCACGAAGCGCCCCGCTGCCCGGGGCTTGGTGGGCGTGGCGTGGGAGGTGGGTACGCCCGATCCCACCTGATGCTGCTCACGAATGTGTTGTCGCAGCGCCGTCAAACGCTGCGCTACTGCGCCACATTTGCGGCACTTAAAGAGGCGACGGTGGACAGCAGGACGGCCGAGCCAGGTGCCGCGTGCCCTGGGGTTGTGCGTGGCGTGGACGTGTGCCAGACATAACGCTCGTGACTTGAAGCGCCGGCCGCACTGAGAACACCGCCAGCGCTTTTTGCGCTTGGCAGGTGGTGCACGCGGGGCAGCCTCCTCACTGCTCTCCTCTGGGGCTTTAAATGGTTTGGGGGCATTGGGTTCTGAAGAATTGTCTTTTTCTAGTAGGGGTTTCAGAAACCCCTGAAGCTGGTGTTGTATCAGGTGGTGTTGGTAGGCTTCAAAGTTGGGCAATACTTGTGAACACAGTGGACAAGGAAATGACTGCCCCAGCATACCCGGCAAGGGGGGCATACCTGGGGCGTGGGTACGGGCGTGGGCGAACAGCAGTGCTGGTGAAGGTGCCGTGAAGGGGCATAGTGAGCACTGCAGAGAACGTATTCTTGTGTCATCTATGGTTTGAGAGTCTGTGTTCATGGTTTCAACTGGAGTGCCGTGCATCTTGATGACGTGGAGCTGGAGGGCCACCAGGTCTGGCACTACGTGGCCACACAGACCGCACGCTGAGCCGTTCTGTTGGCCACCTTCGCGCACCACTGTTGACGCCTCCACCTCTTGCCATTTTTCTTTGCCTTCATCATCGTGGTCGCTCGTTAAATGGGTCTTTAGCCACTTGCGGTTCTTGAATCGGCGGGAACACAGCGGACAGGATTCAATCTCGGACTTCACAATTCCTTCGTCGCTCTCACGCCCTTCCTCAACCATCCCGTGGGTGTTCTGCTTGTGCACGCGCAGGAAGTACTTGCTACACAGTTCTTTATTGCACAAGTCACAGGTCACCCCACCTGAGACGCCGTTCTCCACGTTGATGCCGTGCATCTTCAACATGTGTGTCTTCATGAAATATTTGTTACAAAGTTCTTTGTTACATATTTCACAGTAGGACCGAGAAGTAGACTGAGGTTTCCGTTCTTCCCGACTCTCCACCTCTGCCCTAATCCGCTCCATGAAAGAGGTGGGTGGCGCTGGTGGTGTGAACACTCCGTGGGCACTGAGCATGTGTTGCTGCAAGATGTATCGTGAAAAGAAATCCTTTTTGCAAATATTACAGAACGCTTGATTTTCCCCTGACAAAGGTGTAGGTGGAGGTGAGACTGAGACTTTTGGAGTGGGTTCTCTTGGGGTTTTTGGAGTTTGAGCAGCCTCACTGGGAGGGGCAGAGACCTCCTCGTGACCTAAAATCCCGTGCTCCGTCATCATGTGCGCCCGCAGGAAGTACTTGTTTCCCACGTCCTTATTACATAGTCGACACCGCAGACCCATCTCTCCTTGACGGTTCAGCTGAAGAATCATAGATTGAAGCTTGCGGAGATCCTCGCTAGCGTCTGACTCCCCAGAGCCTGCCGACTCAATTACAGAGGGCCGAGGCGGGTCCTCTCCTCTCTCACCCTGACCATCTTCCGATGTGACCACTAGTGTTGGCCTCTCTCGCTCTAACCTCGCCTGCTCCCTCTGTTCCTCCTCCTGCTTCTGTAATCTCTGTTGGTGCTCGAGATGCTTCTGTTGTTCCTGTATCCTCTTCTGGTGATGCTGTTGCTGTTGTCTGGCTTGTTGCTGGGCGTGTAGAGCGAGCTGTCTCAGCTGTTCATGCGGTGATTGATGTGGGTACAGGTTGAATTGTTCCTGGTGTCCCGATTCTTGGCTAGAACCATGAAAATAGTACTTGTGCATTTGAAGGACATAGGGATTGGGGAACGGACGTCGACAGATATCACACTCAAGATCACTTTCAATATCCGGTAGAGTCGGGCGAGCATACAGTGACTGACGCTCCAAGAGTCTTGCGAGATTCATGGGAGAACTCTCTTTTTGTTGACTCTTACTTCTGTCGGAAAATTCAGGTGTATAAATGCCATGTTTTTTAATTCGGTGCGTCCGGAGGAAGTATTTGTTGCAGAACTCCTTGCAGCAGAGTTCACAGAAGGCATCGGGGTTGATGACTCCCAGTTGCCGGAGCTGCTCGGGGGTGAACTTGGTTCCTGGAGGCGCCTGGACCATCGCTGGCTGACCGACGCGGGCGATGAGACCAGTCTCTCGGGAGCTCTCGTCCGCGCTGCTGCCCCCAGGAGTTCGATATCCGTCACGAAGGGGATCTCTGTTAATTTCACGACCATCAAGCCCTGCCTCGCGTCCTTCAAGGCTTCCTTCATGGCCTCCGATGCTGCCTTCACGACCTCCGATGCTGCCTTCACGGCCACCGAGGCTGCCTTCACGGCCACCGAGACTGCCTTCACGGCCACCAGTGCTACCTTCACGAGCTCGAAAGCTTTCTTCATGCCCATCAGATCCTCCATGGGTTTTGGGTCCTCCTTCTCTTCCTTCATATCCTTTCTCCCGGCCGTCCACTTCTCCCTCTTGATCTTTAGGAACTTCACGGTTTTCAGGTCCTTCTTTCCGTCTTTCAGAATCTCCACCACTTTCTTGTTTCAGTTGTTCTCCCTCTCTGCCGTCCGCACGACCTTGGTGTTCCTCTGTGTCCTCTTGGGTATGCTGGAGGTCATTACTTTCTCCCTTTTCATGGTCTTTGGCCTCCGAGTCACTCTGCTGCCCCTCCCGTTGACGTCCTTCATCATCCTGGTAGAGTGAGTCTCGATTACCTTCCGCCTCGTTTTCTCTCCTTATCTCCTCATGGTGTTGTTCAAGCTCACGTTGCCTGTCCATTAAAATGCGTTCCCGTTGTTCACGTTCGTACTGTTCACGTTCAAGTTGCTGCTCTCTGTATAAATTTCGTTCCCGTTCTCGCTCATGTTCCCACTGGTCTCGTTCTCGCTGCTGCATCTCTCGCTCTCGTTGCTGTCGCTCACGTTCTAAGTACTGTTGCTGTACACGTTCACGATGCTGCTGCTCTAGGTCCCGCTGTTGCATCTCCCACTCACGCTGTTGTTCCTCTCTCATCGTCTGCATATCGCGAGCGTCCAGTGGGAAGTCGTGGGAGTCTGGTAGACGGTCGAGATGGGCTAGAGGTCCGTCTCGGTCATCGCGATGATTGTAATGGTCACTGCTACGATGTTCCTGCTTGCTCCAGGACTCGCTTCTCTGTATATTGTCTTTAGGGGATGTTCTGGGGCCATCAGGGACTCTGGGCAGTTCCCTGACAATATCCCAGGGTGATCCTAAGGGTCTCTCCCAAGGACTACGGGCCATAGTGTCTCTTGAAGGATCTCTCGCCTCCCTTGGTAGTTCACCAATGTCCTTACCAGAGTCCCATGGCTCTCTGCTTTGCTCGCGAGGATCCTTCAGGGACTCCCAAGGACTGAAGTAATCCCTAGGGTCCCTGTGATCTGGGCTACTCTTGCGCCCGTTGTTAGGCGTGGGAGTTCTTGGGTTCTTCAAGGGGTGGGGAGATGTGCTGTGAGGTGAGGGGAGGGGGGCCACTATATGAGGGCCGTGAACCTGTAACTTGTGGGCGTTGAGCGGCGCCCGACCTCCGATGTCCCTCCGGCAAGCGTCGCACCAACCTTCAGGTCTGTCCGGTGCCAAACGGACGGGCACCTGGCCGGGAGTTTTAGGTTTTGTTACTACGTCGATGGTGATGCCGTGGATCTTTGACTTGTGACGCTTCAGAAAGTATTTGTTACAGAATTCTTTTTGGCACAGCTCGCAGTAAGCCTCCAGGTTTATGACGCCACCAGCCTTGCTGTTACTGCTACTGCTGCTACTGCCGGGTTCTGTTTTGGGCATTGGAATGGGTTTACTGGCACCAGGATGAGTAGGTAGAAGTGGAGGCCGCAGCGGGAGGCTGTTCATGGTGGCAGCAATGAAGGCCCCGGCATAAGGAGACCCGACGAGCCCCCCTGAACCAAGACTAGGACCTAGAGGTGAGGCCAGAGGCACACTAGGGCCCAGAGGGGTGGTGTGGCCAGTGGTCATGTTTGTGGGGGAACTACTAAACTCCGGAGAGTAAATGCCGTGCTTGTTGGCTTTATGAGTCTTGAGAAAGTATTTGTTGCAGAATTCTTTATTGCACAGATCACAGTAAGCTTGTTGGTTGAAGATTCGATGCTGTTGACCATTAGCTGAGAAAGATGGAGAAGAGTTGTTCTGTGGTGTATGGCCTGCTGACAGCCGCTCGTGCTCTGCCTGTTGTAGGAATGGTAATAGGAAATGTGGAGGCGCTAACGGCAGGAGGCCGGGTAAGTTGAACTTCATTTCGCCGAACGATGACGGCATTGGAATTGAGGTAGGCGGGCTTCTGCCATCCTCTTCCTGTGGCCTTGTGGGGGGTCCTCCTCCCTCCCACCGGGGACTTGACAGGTTCAGGGGCGTGGCTCCGTCTTCTCCCTTGAGGAGCTCTACTGGTTCTTGTTTCTGGTGGTGCTGCTGCTGACGGGCCTCATCGTCACTAAGCAAACGTCCTATGTGTTCCTCAATAATGTGTCGTCTAAGACTGTCTTCAGAAGGAGCCTGAAGGTGGCAATACGAACACGTGAGACCCTCGTCACCTTCTGCCGATGGATTAGACATTTCAGAATCGAACTGTGTTTCTTCGGTCTTAATTTCCGTTTGTTCTTCACCGTCCCCAGGCTCTCCCTGGGGCGTCGGTAACCGCACTGGCTTGCTCTGCTTGCGCCTCTTCTTGGCCGACGCCGACAGGAGGTCGTCGCCGAGGGAGGACTTGCTATAAAAGTGGGTAAGCTGATCATTGAGACTGGCCTCGTCATCCTCGGTCGTGGCGTCCCCTCCCGAGGTGGACATCTCGTGGGGGTCTCCTCCGTAATGGGATGCAACTGCCTGGAAGTGGGCGTGGAGGTAGGAATGGTGGGCCACGGAGGGAACCTCGACAGCGGTGTTTGGGGAGGGAGGTGGGCGTGGGTGGGCGTCCCTCCCGGTGACGTGGGGCGTCGTGCCGCGTGACACCAGAGCCTCCAGCAGCCCACTGTTCAGTGCCGCAGATGCCATCTTACCACGCCCGCCTGCAACACCAGAGAGATTCATTGTTAATGGGGTCATACGGCATTAGTAGTGTCATAATGCAAGGTGATGTGTTGCAGTAAAACGTTCCACTTAATCATCACACTAGATACACCTAAACACCCAGTTAATACACAACACTAAACACACCACCGACACGTAAATCAATTGTGCTTGAAACACCAAAACATTTGACTAAAACAATAAAAAGTCTAATACAAAACTGCACCTCTTACATAATAAACATTACACCAAGTTCATAAACCACAACAAATGAACTCATTTAACTTTATAATACAATACGAACTCTGGTTAATTGCACAGAGAGAGAGAGAGAGAGAGAGAGAGAGAGAGAGAGAGAGAGGTATTCACGCAGGAACATCTATAGGATATATTATGTAATACCTATTTAACACCTAAGAACTCTGACGTAATCATTTGGAAGTTGCTGTATCTGTAATGATTTACCTGTATCAAGTTAGGGAAGGGTAAGGTAAAACAGGGTAGGGTAGGGTAAGGTAAGGTAAAGGGTAGGGTAAGGTAAGGTAAGGTAAAGGGTAGGTAAGGTAAGGTAAGGTAAGGTAAAGGGTAAGGTAAGGTAAGGTAAGGTAAAGGGTAGGGTAGACCACAGTGGATGTTTTAATGTCATAAATAATTATGCAATATATTCTTGTCATCGAACACGACCGTCAGTCACGAATACAACGAGTGAAAATATGGCCTGGTGTCCACTAAATGATGGTATGGTACGTGATGGTATGGTAGATGTTGATATGAGGTATGGTAGGTGATGGTATGGGTATGGTAGATGTTAGTATGAGGTATGGTAGGTGTTGTTGTGAAGGTATGGTAGGCGATGGTATGGGGGTATGGTAGGTGATGGTATGGGTATGGTAGATGTTAGTATGAGGTATGGTAGGTGGTGGTATGATTGGTGATGGTAGGTGTTGTTGTGAAGGCATGGTAGGCGATGGTATGGGGGTATGGTAGGTGATGGTATGGGAGTATGGTGGTTTCAGGACTCCAAATATTGGTTTAAATGGGACTGGCACTAATTGGCACTAATGAACAAGAGAGTGACAACAAAACAAGAGTGCCTTTAAGAGGAATGTACAGCAGCGGGGTAGAAGGAAACGGGTAAGAAGATAAGGAAGGGAGAATTGGAATAAATGAAGAGATAGGTATAAGGGAAGTACCTCATATCGCCCCTATAGTCCCTCATCCCATCATCATTCCTAGTCCTCATACCATCATCATTCCCCAGCCCTACCCCATCATTCTTCAGCCCTCATCCCATCATCATTCCTAGTCCTCATACCGTCATCATTCCCCAGCCCTACCCCATCATTCTTCAGCCCCCATCCCATCATTCTTCAGCCCCCATCCCATCATTCTTCCGTCCCCATCCCATCGTTCTTCAGCCCCCATCCCATCATTCTTCAGCCCCATCCCATCATTCTTCTGTCCCCATTCTTCTCAGTCCCCATCCCATCATTCCTCAGCCCCTATCCCTTCACTCTCTTGCCACCTCTAACATCAGTCAAGCCCTCACCCACCTCCCCACTAGCCCTCACTACCCACCCACCCCATCACCCATCATTACACCATCCGCCTCTCCACGAGCCCCCTCCCATCAGCCCCCACCCACCTCTCTTCTAACCCTCACCCACCCATCGTGATTCCCATTCATTTCCTCGCCTCTATAATTCACATCAAAGGATTTCTTTTCACCACACCTTGTCGTCCTGCCGTGTACAGGTAAGACACCGCTAATGAGGCGAGCAGCACACTTGGACTACCTGCCGTTTCCTGTAGTAAAAGACACCACCACGAGCGAACAACAATGCCTGGGGGGTTCTTATCTAATCGGTAATGAAAAAATTATGAAACGTACGCCAGACGATCGTTGGCTCTCCTTTTGCCTATACTGGTGTTCAGCGACTCGAGTACAGTGCCAGAAATATACAATGAAATCATGTGCCAAGGTCCTGTGTCTCCTCCTCCATCCCGGCGAGGACATGGCAATGAGAACTACTACGTCAGGCGAACGTTCGACGGCCTCGCGCTTGTAGATTTTTTTTTTTATAATCCCTTAACATAATCTGACTATATGGCAAAATCTTATGGTTGGAAACCTGACTTAGTAGGGCTGACTCACACGTTATGTATTATATATGAGTATATATATGCATTGCAGTCTGATATGGCTGACTGATGGCAGGTATGGCAGATAGACAGCACAGGTATGGCAGACAGATAACAGGTATGGCAGACAGACGGTAGGTATGGCAGGCTCCTTATGGCCGGAAATCGGGATTGCGTGTGAAATGCCATTTCTTGGGGGAGAAATAATTCAGACTGTCGCCGTAAATCAACTTTTAAGGCAACTGATCGATGTGTATGGGGGGGGCTCTGGAATATTTCTACCCCGTAGTGCTGCTGTTACTGTTGCTGTTGTTACTGTTGCTGTTGTTACTTTTGTTTTTACTGTTAGTTATCGCTGTTACTGGTGGTGTTATTCCTGGTGCCGTTGTCGCTGTTGCTGTTATCGCTGTTACTGTTGCTGTTATCGCTGTTACTGGTGGTGTTACTGCTGTTGCTGTTGTTACGGGTGGTGTTGTTGTTGCCGTTGGTGGTGGTAATGCCGCTGTTATCGGTGTTACTACTGTTTTTGTTATCGTTGTCCTGTTATTGATGTTGCTGCTGTTGTTACTGCTGTTATCGCTGTTGCTTTTTTTGCTACTGCCTCTCGTTACGGCGATTTCTTTTTCTTTTACCCATGAGAGATTTTTCGTTAACTGTCTGTCTGTCTGTCTCCTAACCATAACCTCACCCCCCACCCCCCCTCCCACCACCTGTCCCATTAACTCTTGTACAAGTTACCTGTAATTAACTATGATTAACGATTGCCTTAACTAAAGTAACTGCATTAATGTAATAATATTTTTCTAAAACATTTTAATACATTTTTTTTAATTTCTTGTTTTCTTCATCTACTTATTTTTTTACGTTTGTTTTTAAGTATTTTTCCTTTTAAGTCGTTTTTACTTTCTTTCGTGTACATAATTTTGTTTCTTTTATCCTATTACAAACTTTTTTTATTATTCCTTCCATTTCCTTTTCCTCTATATTTTATCATATTTCTCTACCTTTCCTTCTACTTTTTTTTTTACTTCCTTTCCATATAATTTCTTCACTGTCACACATTTTCTCTACTTTCTCCTTCTACCTACTTTCTAACGGGTAAGGAAAAATATTGAGAAAGTTCAGAATTAATAAATTTTTTACGACACTTCAATAGTCGGCCTGTGTGATGACGTGGAACGGAGGAGGAGGAGGAGGAGGTGGAAGAGGAGGAGGAGGAGGAGGGAGGAGGAGGAGGAGGAGGGAGGAGGAGGAGGTGGAGGAGGAGGAGGAGGAGGAGGAGAAGAAGAAGGAGGAGGAGGAGGAGGAAGAGTAGGAGGAGGAATATGTTGATGAAAGAGAAAGTGAATAAGAAAAAGTGTGTGGGTAGGGAAGTATGGATGGGTAGGAAAGAAGTTATAATGGTGGTAGTGGTGGTGGTGATTCTTGCTATATTCTTCTATTCCAACATTACCAATAGCCCTTCCCTTCCCTCCCTCCTTCCTTCCCCCTCCCCACTTCTCCTCCCCCTTACCTTATAATATGGGTCAGCAAGTGCCTCCCTCCTCCTACCTCCTGCCCCCTATCATCAACACGTCGAAGAAAAAATGTAAATTGTTGTTGGTGTGTGTGTGTGTGTGTGTGTGTGTGTGTGTGTGTGTGTGTGCGTGTGCGTGTGTGTGTGTGTTAAATAAATCATGGCGTAATTATCAAAAGCTATGGGCGTCTCAAAAGGAATTTCAGATCGACAAAAGCTGTGGAGAAGGAGCAGGAGGGGAAGGAAGGGGTAGGGGAAGACTGGGGAGGGGAAGGAAGGTTGGGGAAAGACTTAGGTAGGGATACGAGGGTAGGGGAAGGGAGGGGGTAATCGTTCTTATGGTGTGTGGGTGGTTGGGGGGAGGAGGAGGAGAGGGGTAGTGGAGGGGGGGTTAAGAGTATGGTGTGACTAGTCTTTTAAAACTGTAAAAAAAGAAAAGAAAAGGAAAATATTGGAGTTGGTGTTAAAATTTGAAACATACAATTAGAGAAAGAGAGAGAGAGATAAAAATAACTTTAAAATACACCGCAGACGATCTATATATCGTCTGGCGGGGGAGTGAAAAATAGTCAAATAAAATCTCTGTGTGGCAACTCTCTCGGTGTCCATTGTAAGTTGCCAGATACTCCTTTATCATAGGAATATTTTTGTTTTTCATATCCCTCCTTCCACCCCCGTACACTTGAACGATATATCACCGGTCATTATTACTAAATTCTCACGCTTACAATCCATATACCGCAGCCTGGCCTTAACAAGTTAGTCGCTGAAAGGGAAATTAAGCTCTTAATAACGTCCATGGAATTGACGATGTTGGCGAAACCTGGCAACTGTATTGAATCGATAGTTGAACAAAAACAACAAACACGCCGAATCCAAGGCCAGGAGGTGAGTACACGTGCTTTCTGGCGCGCCGGGTGAGAGAGAGAGAGAGAGAGAGAGAGAGAGAGATACACATACAAAAATAATCAGATAGCGTTGAACAGTGGTAGTATGCGTCAAGGACACTATGGGACGAATTTAAGACGAATTTCCCGCGTGCCTGATGCGTTTGTTTACAACTGCATGCACGGGACATGTCTGAGTATGAATGGAGAGAGTTTCCCAGCGCTGGGTAGGGTAAAGCAGGTGCGTGAGTGTGCTTTTGTGTGTGTGTGTGTGTGTGTGTGTGTGTGTGTGTGTGTGTGTGTGTGTGTGTGTGTGTGTGTGTGTGTGTGTGTGTGTGTGTGTGCATGGTTGTTGATGTGTGTAGGTGTGGGTGCGTGTATACATAAGTAGAGGTGTGAGCATTCGTTTGTGTGTGAGTGAGTGTACATATGATTGTTTCTGTAGTAATAATAA